AAGCTCGCCTGGCCTGGCCCGCCAGCCTCTCCTTGTCCTTGGTGGTGCCTGTGCATCCTGCTGGTCTTGGTCCTACAGCGCTAGTGACCGCTGGTCCAGAATGTCGTTTGGGTGGAACTTACTGCTGTGCTTCATATCTTTTAAAATTGCTTTCGAAGAGCAGCTGTGGTTCTGCAAACGCTGTGTGTAAAGTTGTTCTTTGGTGCTTTAAATCCTCCAAGCCAGCTACCAGATACTGTTCTGTTGCTGTTTTGAAACGCCTGTATGTCTGTAATGACCCTGCCTTTCTTCTCTCCCGAAGAAATATGATCCTTCAGATCCTGCCTATGCTTATGCTCAGCTAACACACGATGAGCTGATCCAGCTGGTCTTGAAACAGAAGGATGCAATTACCAAGAAAGATCTCCAGGTGCGTGAGCTCGAAGACTACATCGATAACTTGCTTGTCAGAGTCATGGAAGAAACCCCCAACATTCTTCGTGTTTCAACGTCTGGAAACAAAAAAGCTGGAAAGATGTAAAAGCTCTCGGGATGGAGGCTGAACAAAGGACTGAATTCCCGCCAATGGAGTTTGATTAACGAGGAGACGATGTGGTGGTACCAGTTGTGCTGCCCACAGAAAATGACCTCTTTCCTGTTTCTGCCTTGAGCAACTCTCAGTTTGATTAGTAGTTACATCAGGTCTCGTGTATGGAGTCCAGAAGTGGAGTCAAGTTATCATATTTATTTTTTGGTTTCTTTCCATGATTTGGCAAGATTTCTTCAGGCGTCTAATCCAAAGGCCGATTGGGGCGGGAAGGGGGAAGGGTTTTTGATGTGTTTTGCTTGCCAGCGAGGCACTGATGATCCTTTATGAAGATTTTTCTTTTCGTGGTTTTGTTTTGTAGCAGCTTTCATAGACCAATTACTCTTCTTTCCATTTCTTAAGTTTTAGTGCAATATAACATGTTGTACAGTAGAGCTTGAGGATTTGATTGTTTTAAAGAAAAAAATTAACAGCTACATTGGAGAAGTCCAAAGATGTGTGCTTCAGACCAGGCTGGGCGGGCTGTGTTTTAAAAGTAATTAATGCCCTACAAGTTAAGTGCAAGTTAAACCTTAGATTGGAAAGGAAGAAGCAAAGCTTAGTTAATCTCGTAAAGTTTCATCTTGATACTGTTTATACTTTATACAATCCACATGCTGCTTCTAAGCAGTTCTCCAAGAGGAACGTTTACAGGTTTTTCTGGTATAGGAAACGAGATGTCCCGGTACGTTTGTCTGCCGTAGGAGTGGCAGTAATGAATTTGGGCCAAAGGTGTGTTTTCAATCAGAAGCTCTTCTCTTATAGACTTCGAATTCCTGATTGGAAGGTTGTTCCAGCGAGGGAGGCGAAGGTACACCTCGTTTCTGTTCTGTAGCCTGGAATAGGTGTGGAATTCGCAGTCCACATGGCCCGTGTCTCGTGCTGCGTGGGAGTTCTGTGACAATTTTCCTTTTATGCTTTTCAGTTTATTAAATTTAAATGCCTGGGGTTTAAGCTGGGGCTTACCTTGGAACGACCTTCCAAGGTGATCAGTCTTACAGCGCGTTCTCTCCTGCATTCCTTCCCTGGCCCAGGGAGGAGCCTCCCCTGGGGACGTGAGCTGGTGTGCAAATCCGGTTGGGTTTTCTGTGTGACGTGGTGCTCAGAATGGAATGAAGGTTTTGTGTAGCTGAGAGAGAGTGCTGGTGTTGCTGGACAATCGAGACCTCTCAGTCTGCTTTCTTAACGCGTGGCTGCTTTGCAGCTCCATGGAGATGGGTGTTTCCTCCTCCCCTTCTCATCCGACTGCAAATACCAACGTAGCGCTATCGAGCGGCCACCACAACAGGCTTCTTCCACTGGAAAACTAAATGTGACTTTTTTCCTGGCAAGCTCTGTCAAAGATCAAAAAATAAGGTGCCTCTTTGCAGCTCTGGGATTTATCAGGGTTGCGAGAGTCCATGATGGAAATGCCAGAAGAGCGGGCAGCAGAGGACCAAAGCAAACGCTCCTGCCTGTGGAAGTTGAAAGGGTCTTTTGGGTTGCTGGTGGCTGAGCTCACAAGGAGTGAGTGTCTAACTCTGTTTTTTACGGCAAAGCACTTTATTGAGGGACTAGACCAGCTGGATCCACTATCAGCCTGTTAGTAGTCTGTGTACTGTTTTCATAAACCACTGAAAACTCCTGGAGACTTGTCAAATGCTGTATTTTTGTAGTGAAGAGTAGTTTAATATATTTGCCTAGAGAGATACATTTATTGGAAAAGTCAAAAAATGCTGTTAATCACATTTTTATCACTCTAAACTGACTGACTGCCAAAGACCGGAGCTTTTCGGACAGAGCTGTCCTTCGTGGGAAGCTCGAGTTGAAACAAACCTTAAGTGTTAAGAGTCTTCTAAGACTTCAGGTACTTTTCTCTAGTTTTATTTTTGTTTGAGCAGATGTCTTCAGTGAAGGGGTTGTTTCTTTTCTGCTGTTCCCTCTTCTGTGAATGAAGGATCTGCAATGGAGAAGGTCTTAGGGGCATCTTCAGCTTTTGACCAGTGGTTTTAATTTTAAGAGGTACTGGTTGGCCTTACTGAAAACTGCTGCTGCTTCTCGTGCCTTGAAATAGTGAGGAAGATGAAGGATTGATTTATTTCCTCCTTGTGCCTCAGTGGATTTCTGGAAATGGTTGCTTATACCTCACTGATAGACTCGTCTTCTAGACTTTATTCCACAGCTTTCTGATGTCCCAGAAAACACGATGGCTTAACGGTTAAAAAAAAATGGTGTTACTGGTAGTCATAACTCGGTGCATGGGAAGCAATACTGGACTCTTGCTTTTTTGCTCATTTTAAAACAGTGTGGGTACTACTGAGTCGCTGGCTGCTGAAGGCACCGCGGTGCTGTGTGTGATGCTTTTGGAGTACGGATTTTCCAGAGTTTGGATAACGTGTGTTCCTGTTGGCAGGAACGCCACGAACAGAAACAAAACGGTGATGTGTTCTCTAGTGGTGTTCTTGGAGATGGAGCCTTAAAACTTGTCATATCCTCTCCTGGCAGCTTTTTTTGCCACTTACAGCCGCGTCTGTTGAGGTGGACCCTGGGTTGTGCCTGGCTGTTGCCCCTGCAGGGTCACGGTCCTGCACCAGCCACGCTTCGACCTCCGTGGCTGGGAAAGCAGCACAAACCTTGTCCTCAGTCTTTTGTTGGCAATACCAGTTAGAGCCTTTCTTTGGCATAAGAGGGCTGGCTGGCATTTTATGTCCAGCAAGGTGCTTCACCTTGACTTTAAGGGCCTTACGAATCAAACATATTGTTTTATTATTGAAGGATCCGAATGTAATTTTTCCCTGTTTGTACTGTCTGCTTTTAGCCTGGGTACCTATTTGGTTTTAAATGCCTTTTGGTTTCATAGAACACTAAAATAAAAATGCCTTAAATCCAGTGTTCTGATCATTTTGTCTTTTTTTTTTTTTCCTGAAAGAGCAATTTCAGAAGGGCCTCATCCCCCCCTCATGACCAGCTCTGCTGCCCGAAACTCCTCATCCTCAAGGTATTTTTGGGCTAGTCCCATCCCTGCAAGCTACCTGTGCAGGAAGTTCACGGTAAACACCGTGCAGGGTGGAGAAACCTGATGGACGAGCCCATCAGCATCCTGAGAACGGGGAGTGTCTGCAGAGCAGAGGCAGAAGAGAAACGTGTGGCGGGTTCTCTGGCCGGGAGCCGGTTCCGTCACCCGGTCAGAGCTCCGGTCCTGCTTGCAATGGCCCCCAAACTGCGGGCAGCGAGGAAATCAGCCTCCTGCTGTCTCGTTTAGCCGGCACCCGCTCTGCGCTGCG